AGGCCGATCTTTCCGAAGAGCAGAAATCCGTGCTTCAGTATGTCCGTGACGTTTCCAATCCACAATCCAGTGATCCTCCAACCTCTCGCTGCATGTTCTTGGACGCGCCTGGGGGCTACGGCAAAAGTACACTGCTCCAGGTTGTCGCTGCGGACGCAAGGTCCAAGGGAGATATTGTTCTTTGTGTAGCGAGCTCTGGTATTGCTGCCCTTAACCTGGATGGTGGAACAACTGCTCACTCCATGTTTAAGCTTCCGCTCGATCTTGGTGATGGAACAGGGTACTGGAACCTGCGAAACACCCAGCAACGTGCCGACCTAATTCGCGAAGCCAAGCTCATAATTTTTGATGAAATATCTATGGCACACAAGTTTCTTATCGAGATACTTGACAGATCCCTTCAAGATCTCATGGGTACAAACGAAGTGCTGGGTGGCAAGGTATGTCTTTTTGCTGGGGATTTTCGACAGATTCCTCCAGTCGTCCCCAGCGCAAAGACTCCATCTGATGTAGTGTTTGCGTCGTTGAAGTGTTCGCATTTGTGGCCTCACTTCCGTCAGTTCCGTCTGACTGTACCTCAGCGAACGCGAAGTGATGATGAGTACTCATCCTTTCTCCTCTCTGTAGGCAATGACACACTGCCACAACACGTGTTTGGAGAAGGAGATAACACGGACAAAGTGATTGCTCTTCATGGAATCCGGTCCGTTGAGAAACTTGATGAGCTCATTGCCTCCGTCTATCCACCCGATATTTTGCGTGACCCAGACGCCTCTTCCACCCGGGCGATTCTATGCGCCCACAATGTTAATGTCCGTGAAATAAACAGTGCAGTCATGGCAAAACTTCCAGGAGGCGTGCAACAGCTGGTCAGCGTGGATACTATTGACAAAGAAATGGAAGGTGTTGACATTGACATAGACACACTTCATTTAGCCGAAGGTAAAGGCGTGCCAAACCACATCCTCGATCTAAAGATTGGCGCAGTGTGCATGATAATGCGTAACCTAAACATGTCTGAGCGACTGGTGAATGGCACCAAAGTAATAGTAGAGGGAATAAGTCCACGCCTTGTAACAGTGCGTAAGCCAGGGACACAGGAGTTGATTGCCATTCCTCGGATTTTGTTCAGGTTTCCTGTGCTTGAGGGCAGTCCACTTCAAATGTGCCGCCGCCAATTTCCTCTTCAGGTGTGCTACGGCATGACTGTGCACAAGAGTCAAGGACAAACGATTTTTAAAGTTGGGCTTGATCTTAGATCCGATTGCTTCACACACGGCCAGCTCTACGTTGCACTCAGTCGAACGCGTCGTTCTGATGACGTTACTGTGCTTGGAGCTCCTGATCGCTGCGTGGACAACATCACGTATGTCAGGAATATTGTTTATCAGGAGCTCCTCGACAACACATAATTAATAAATGCTACATATTCACACACTTTTTCTGTCTCCCGCACGGCCTTTTACATTGAATAGCACTTTTACATCAACATATTTGTGATATTTTTACACTGTCATTATTCTGTGATACATTTTTCTGTGATACATTGTTTCTGTGATACATATTTTCTGTGATACATATTTACTGTGATACATATTTTCTGTGATACAAATTTTCTGTGATACAAATTTTCTGTGATACATTTTTTCGTGATACATTCTTTTTGTGATACATTTTTCTGTGATACATTTTTCTGTTCTGATATAGCTCTATTGTTTTGCTGTTTATTACTTCTCTTTACATAATCATCGTAAAATACTCTTTTGTTACAATTTAAACAGCGGCTCACGAAGGCCTCTTACCAACCTCTTCGTGGTGTGAGCTAGAAACGTTAATTGTACACTCCTACATGCAACGGCAAATCGGTTAGAGGTAGATATATATATTTATTGACAAAAGACAACTTTTAAATTATAAACTTTTTTATGCTCCTCACAT